CAGATGAAAAGTGTGCAGGTATGTGCTCTGCTCTTGCAGACAACTTTGCTATTGATGCTACATGACAGCAGCAGGTGCTGATGCTGTCTCTAAGGTAGGAGCCTCTGCTGGTAGCCCAGTGTTTACACACTCTTCAAATCTGGTATGAACTAGAGAATTTCTTGTAAGTTGTTTTACGCAATTAAGTATTTTTGACTCTAGCCTCCACTACAGCATGTTGTATTTGTTTGTGCCAGGTCTTTGGATTATCTTCAAAGACAATTTCTCCTTTCTTTCTTTTGTTTTCTAGAAGTGATGTCATTTTTTTATAAAGTCAAGATAGTAAATATATTGACATTGTATATTCTGACTATAAATTGACTGGCTACCACTAACTCTTCATACCTGTGGGTTCTACACCTGAATAAAAATATTCACAAAATTATATCATTTACAGATTTTTTCCTTGTACTTATTGCCTAAATAGTATTGCATAACAACTAATTATCATGCTGCCTGAAAGCTTTTACATTTTGTTTGGTTTCAAGGGTAATCTAGGGATGAGTTGAAATATGCAGAAGGGCGTGGGTCTGTTCTATGCAAATACATCATTTTATATGGGATCTAAGCCTTGGCAGATGTGGGGTCTTGGAACAAAATTCGTAAGGACACAGAAGGATGACTCTCTCTCTCTCTCTCTCTCTCTCTCTCTCTCTCTCTCTCGTGTGTGTGTGTGTGTGTGTGTGTGTGTGTATGTGTACATTGCTATATTTATTTGGTGAAAATAGTTTAGTTTTGGAGAGTTTCCTTTGGATGTTTACACTAACATGTGTGAGTCACATGAGTAATAGCAAATAATAAATAGCCAAGGGCCTAAGTCCCAGGCTTTAAACTCTGGCTTATTCTTGAACTATCTCAAGGGCAAGTACTAAGCAAATGCCTGCTATCATATCCTCTCAAGGGCTTGTTTAAAGAAGGAGGCTGTCTTTTGTCCAACTGCTTTCTATGGAGGGATGGTTTATAAGGAGCGGAGGAAGACTTCATGTTTTTGGTGTCTCTAGATGTTATTCCTCTCATTACTGTGGTTTATGTTGGAACAGTCTCTTCTTAAACATAATTTCTGCTCCTGGGATGAAGTGGTTCCAGAAATAAACTGTTTGGAATTTAGCACTTAACTGTAAGCTTGAATCCTTTATTGAACTTCTATAATGTGCTAGGTATTAAGCTATCAGGTAGAGACAGAAACATGTTAAATATACAGTATTATCAACAAACGGAGTTGGTTTCACTGGAAACAGCAGGGATCCAGAGTAATAGTTACACTATTACTTAATGTGTAATACAGAAACATGCACAGGGATGCAGGTCTGCAAAGGACATTGAGGAAAACTGATGTGCTTAGAATCTTAGGTAGCAAGTCATGGCATTATCTTCACAAGAGGGCATTTAACATGCATATGGAGTGGTCATCTAATTCCCCAAATTACCATGCTGAGCAGGAATGATTTACAGTGCTAGCTAGGGAAGTCTGTGGACCATGAAGGAAAAGGATACAGGAGGTGAATGTCTGTGCAGCACCAGGAATCAGGGGGTGGGGGTGGAGTAAGCCTGAACATGGAAGATGTAAGCTTCTGGTGCTAAAGAAAAACAAACTGTAGTGCTTTGAATGAGCTGCCTCCCTTAAGTCTGAGACATTTGAATTCTTGATCCCCAGTTGGTGACTGTTTAGGGATGGCTAGGAGGCGTGGCCTTGCTGGATGAAGTATGTCACTGAGGGCAGCTCTTTAGTTTCAAAATTCTCACTACATTCAAAGCTTTCTCTGCTTCCTGTTTGCAGTTCATAATGAGAGCTCTCACTGCTGCTTCAGAGCCATGCCTGCCTGCCTATTGCCGCCCTCCCAGCCATGATGGTGATGAGCTCTTATTCTGCTAGTACTACCAACCTCAAATAACCCCTTCCTTCTACTAGTCCCATCGGTCATGATGTTTTATCGCAGCAATAAAAACAGTATCTAATATATCAGTTGAATGAAGAATTAGAACCATCCGCCTTAGATGGCAATCCGCAAAGTGAGGGAGTCGCTTAAAGTAGGAAGAGACGCCTAGGTGAAGGATCACCAGGTCTCCTGTACAGCTGAGCCGAGGCCAGCTCCACTTAATTTAATGGACACTTGCCTGGATTTTGGAGAGAAAGCTAACAACTTGTTAAACTCGTGACTATTTTGTGATTAATATGCTTTTCTATTGAGACTGCTTTGAATTAGGATTGTATTTCAGTGCTCATCACAAAGACATTTAAAATACCCTCCTTTGTGTGTATTTATCTTTGAATTAGTATCAAATTGGAACAAACTCTTCTTCTCAAGAAATTATACATATATATATATATATATAGTATTTAACAGCATTATTTTAGAACTCACCATTCATATTCCAGTGTAAGTGTGCTGTGTTTGCCTTTGTCAGAGAAGACAGTAGTCTTGCTTTATCTTGGAGTGAAATTAAGGAAACAGAGCAGGAGACAAGAACATGAGGATAGATCAATATCTCTCGTCACGCTTCTAGCCCTTGTTATCACACTCAGATGTATCTTTTGTTTTTGTTTTTAGTTGTTAAAGTCTCAAAAAATATCAGAACACATTCTCCTGAACTCAAAAATACACAGCCAATGTGTGAGCTCTACCCCCACCCCGCACCATTCTGGTGTCACTCTGGACTCCATTCTTTTAAAAATTACTTCTTCTTTTTTTTAAATTATAAATAACTACATCATTTCCCCTTCCCTTTCATTTCCCCTTCCCTTTCATCACCTAAAACCCTCCCATATACCCCTCCTGGTTTGTGTCTTTAGGGTTCACCATTTGGTAAAGGATAACCAATTGGTATGCTCTTTCTTGGGCAACACTGTTTTTCTCAGCATTCCTTTGCTGCCTATAGTAGTTTGTGTAGGTTATTTTCTGTGTGTTATTAATTATTATCCATATTAGTCTTGATGCTTCAAAGAGTTACAAGCAGTATGAGTATGTGTACACACATGTATTTGCTTTTCCTCACACCCTTTAAAAGTTGCCTATTACATAACACTCAATTTAGTATATAATTCCTAACAGTGTTTTCTTCTAGCTTCACTAGGAACACATTTATGACAGTTAGCTTTATCAGATAATGCACAGTTAACATTTAAATTAACCACATTGTTCCAAAATTCTTCTATAGCTGCTTCATGAGGAGAGCCACCCAGTCCCATATCTAAGCAAAGTTCTCAAACATCCTTCTTTGCTTTGTATGCATGGCTGCATTTTTGGGTGCTGCTCTAGTCTCCCCGCCACACTGCTATTGCTTGATTCTCCCTGTTGCCCATTATTTACAGTTAATTTTGATGCTCCAGAAGTTACAAACTCAGATATTAGAACCTTCATTCATCTGACTCTTGACCATTCTAATCCCACTGATTTAATCTGAACACATCCTGAAGTTTGACACAATGTGTTTCAGGGTTGTTCCCTACTTGCCTAGCTCAATGCACCAATACGAATCAGTCATTTCTTTAGCGAGCACATTCCCTTCTTCTGAGAAATGTACAGAGAAAGCAAACTCTGGGCGCCAAGGGTGACTCTTGCAAGGCAACTCTAGGGTAGATGGCATGACACTACAACTAGGAATTCCAGTCAAATGCACCACCAGGTCAGGAAAAGAGTTTCTGTGACACTAATGTGCCCCTTCTGAATTTCTAGATCTGAACTTTCACTCTTCATTTTCCTTGGACAGCCCACAGAATTATAGAGGCCTAAAGTTTCAGAAAGTATCTACCCCTGGAAGCCCTGCATGCCAACAGAGTTTACTTACTTTTCTCCAGTTTCATTCTTGAAGTCTGTCTCTTTCCACAGAGAAAGTTCTGGCTCCTCAATCATCATTTGATCCTAACTCATTTGCTTTTCATATATAAGACGGTTTCAGAATTATAGCACTGGTATGAACACCTATAACATTCCTTTTGAGTAAAGTTTAGCATTCATTGCCCCCTGCCTTTGAAATACTTTGCGCAAAGGGTATATTCAGTGAGTTGAATTAAATTCCTACGTTCTTTAAATGGGTATCAGTATTAATAATAGGAGTTTCATTTATGCTGTTTAGGCTTAATTATGTTTTTCAGCTCATTATTTGCATGAATTACATAGAAAAAATACATAGCTCACAATGGCAAAGTAAAAAGATTTCACCGCTGCTGCTCTTTCTTCCACTGTGGCTCTTTCCTCCAATTACTATTGTCTTACAGACTATTGTCATGCATCACATGATCCCTGTTTATGTCCATGAGAGAGAGCAATTGTACTCCCTGGAGTTCTCCATGCTCCCTTTTTTTGTTGGTGTTGTATGAGGGATATATGTGTGTGTGCACATGCTATGGAGGCCAGAGTTCTATATGTAGTGTGTGTGTATGTGTGTGCACATTCCCATGCTATGGAGGCCAGAGGCTCTTGTCAGTCTCCTTCCTCTATCTCACTCCACCTTGTTTCTGAGGTAGAGTTTCTCACTGAACTTGAAGCTCACAGCTTAGCTAACTAGTGGGCCTCCAGAGTCTAACTGCCTCTGTTTCCCTGACACTGGGATTAGAGGAGTACACTACTTTACCAGGATTTTTTTTTGAGAGGCCAGCATCGGACTGATCCAGACCCCCTAAACATGGGTGTCAATGAGAAGGTCTTGGCATTCTTTGGGGCCTCTGGCAAAATATCAGTATTTATCTCTGGCATCCAAATGGACTTTGGGAGCCCATACCACATGGATGGATGCTGTCTCAGCCTGGACACATGGGGGAGGGCCTAGACCCTGCCCAGGACAATATGACAGACTTTGGAGATCCCCCATGAAGGGCCTCACCCTCCCTAGAGAGTGGAGTTGTGACTGAGTGGGGGTTAGGAGGCTTAGGGGAGCAGGGGAAGAGGAGAGTGAGAGGGAGCTGGGATTGACAGGTGAAGTAAGCTTGTTTCTAATTTAAATAAAAAAACAGGTTAAAAAAAGTGTTGTATGAAAAGAGAGGTTAGCACTCCCCTTGACAGGGATGTAAGAAGCCCTTTGGCCTAACAACACACATACGGGTTAAGGCATTTATATGTGAATTTTAAGTAAGCTCTCTGACTTTCTCAACCACTCTTTGTGTTCTTTCTCCCTTCTCCATCTCTGTAAGTGCTTTCTTCCTCTTCCCCCCATAGATAATTTCTTCCCCTCCCCAATTGTCCTCATTCCTGCTTCATAACACCTGCATCCTTCTATCTCCTCTATGAATCCTCTCCTCCTACCCCCACCACTCCCACTGCTATTCCTTTTTACTTTCCTAGTTTCTGAGCTTATTCTAGGTTATATAGCCACACCTAAATAATTTTAGCAAATACTACTGTCACTAAGAATGTTTTCCATTGTTATGTTTATTTATTTTCATTTAAAATGTTAATATTCCACAGTACTGGTTTATAAGAGAAGAATAAAGATTAATGTATTTTTAAGAATGATAATTTGATTTATATTTAATATTGATGATAATCTCTTTGAATTAGCATATTTATACAATCTCATACACACACACAGAGAAATATATTAGTTTGTGAATTTTTTCTTTTAAACATTTCTTCATTATATATATATCTATTTTAAAGTTTTATGTATTTATTTTTTATTTAGGTTAGAAACAATCTTGTTTCACATGTCAATCCCAGCTCCCTCTCACTTCCCTCCCCCCCTGCCCTCCCTGCCAGGTCCCCCAGTCTCCCACCCATTCTCCACTCAGATCACCAAGGAGGGTGAGGCCCTCCATGGTGGATCTCCAGTAACTGTCATTTCATCTAGGGCAGGGCCTAGGCTCTCCCTCAAGAGTCCCAACAGAGACAGCCTCCCATATTATGGCATGGGCACTCAAAGTCTATTTGTATTCCAGGGGTAAATACTACCCAAGGCCCAATAGATTACCTAGGCCTCCTCACTGACACCCACATTCAGGGTGCTTTCCACACAGACATCAATCTGGAGTTCAAGAGCTCTGCCTTGTTCAGGTCAACTGCTCCTGTGAGTTAAACCAGCCCACTCTTAACTCCTTTGCCCATCATTTCTTTCTTTCTGACACTAGATTCTAATTCAATTCAGTGTTTGTCTGTGGGTATCTGCCTCTGCTTTCATCAGTCACTGTATGAAGGTTCTGTTTCCTAGACTCTTTGGCAATGGGATTGTATGCTGGCACTCCCCCGATTCATGTCTAAAATCCATAAATGAATGAGTTACCTCACTCAGTATGGTTTCTTCTAGTGTCATCCATTTGCCTGCAAATTTCAAAATTCCATTGTTTTTTTTCCACGGAATAGTACTCTATTGTGTAAATGTACCATATTTTCTCTATCCACTCCAGTTGAGGACCATCCAGGTTCTGGCTATTACAAATAATGCTGCTATGAAGATAGTGGAATAGACATCCTTGTTGTATGAATGTGCATCTTTTGGGTATATGCCTAAGAGTGGAAATTCTGGGTCTTGAGGTAGACTGATTCCCATTTTCATGAGGAATCTCCATATTGATTTCCATAGTGGCTCTACAAGTTGGCACGCCCCCAGCAATGTAGGAGTGTTCCCCTCTCCCCACATCCTCTCCAGCATAAACTGTCATTGGTGTTTTTGATTTTAGCCACTCTGACAGGAGTGAGAGTGTGTCAATGTTGTTTTGATTTGAATTTCCCGGATAGCTAGGGATGTTGAGCACTTTCTCAAGAGTCTCCTTAGTCTCCTCTATTGAGAGTTCTCTATTTAGTTCTGTAACCCATTTTTTGATTGGATCCTTTGGTGTTTTGGAGACTTGCTTCTTGAGATCTTTGTAAATTTTGGAGATCAGCCCTCTGTCAGATGTGGGGTTAGTGAATATCTTTTCCCAATATGTGGGGTGCCTTTTTGTCTTACTGACTGTCCTTTGCCTTACAGAAGCTTCTCAGTTTCAGGAGGTCCCATTTATCAATTGTTGATCTCAGTGTCTGTGCTACTGGAGTTATGTTCAGGAAGCTGTCTCCTGTACCAAATCATTCAAGGGTGCCTCCCACTTTCTCTTCCAAGAGGTTCAGTGTGGCTGGATTTATGTTGAGGTCTTTGATCCATTTGGACTTAAGTTTTGTGCATTGGGATAGACATGAATCTATGCACATTCTTCTACATGCCAGCATCCAGTTATGCCAGCACCATTTGTTGAAGATGCTTTCTTTTTTTCCATTGCATATTTTTTGCTTCTTTGTCAAAAATCAGATGTTCATACATGTATGGGTTAATATCAGGGTGTTCAATTTGATTCCATTGGTCTACCTGTCTATTTTTGTGCCAATATCAAACTGTTTTCAGGACTACATCTCTATAATAGAGCTTGAAGTCAGGGATGACAATGCCTCCAGATGTTGCTTTGTTGAATAAGGTTGTTTTGGCTATCCTGGGTCTTTGTTTCTCCATACAAAGTTGATTATTGTTCTTTCAAAGTCTGTGAAGAATTGTGCTGGGATTTTAATGGGGATTGCATTAAACTGTGTATTGCTTTTGGTAAGATTGCTATTATTACTATGTTGATCCTACCTATCCAAGAGCATGGGAGATCTTTCCACCTGCTGGAGTCTAATTTCTTTCTTTAATGACTCAAAGTTTTTGCTATACATGTCTTTCACTTGTTTGGTTAGCGTTACCCCAAGGTATTTTATGTTATTTGTGGTTATTGTAAAGGGTGATGTTTCTATGATTTCTTTCTCAGCCCTTTTAATCGTCTGTATATAGTAGGCCTACTGATTTTCTTGAGTTGATATTGTAACCTGCCAATTGCTGAAAGAATTTATCAGCTGCAGGAGTTGCCTGGTGGAGTTTTTTGGGTCATTTATGTAAACTATCATACCATCTGCAAATAGTGAAAGTTTGACCACTTCCTTTCCTATTTGTATTCCCTTGATCTCCTTTTGTTGTCATATTGCTTTAGCTAGAACTTCAAGTACAATATTGAAGATGTATGGAGAGAGTGGACAGCTTTGTCTTATTCCTGATCTTTGAAGAATTGTGTTGAGTTTCTGTCCATGTAGTTTGATGTTGGCTGTTGGTTTGCTCTATATAGCTTTTACTATGTTGAGGTAAGTTCCTGTTGTCTCAGATCTGTCCAAGACCTTTATCATGAAGGAGTGCTGGATTTTGTCAAGGGCTTTTTCAGCATCCAATGAGATGATCATGTGATTTTTGTTTCTCAGCTTGTTTATATGGTGAATTACATTGATGGATTTTCATATGTTGAACCAACCCTGCATGCCTGGCATGAAGCCTACTTGATCATGGTGGATGAGTTTTCTGATGTGTTCTTGGATCTGATTTGCGAGTATTTTATTGAGTATTTTTGCATCAATGTTCATGAGGGATATTGGTCTGAAGTTCTCTTTCTTAGTTGTGTCTTTGTGTGGCTTGGTTATCAAGGCTATTGAAGCCTCATAGGAAGATTTTGGCAAAGGCCCTTCTGCTTCTATTGCATGGAATACTTTGATAAGAATTGGTATAAGCTGTTCTTTGAATTTCTGGTAGAATTCTGCACTGAGGCCATCTGGTCCTGGGCTTTGTGTAGTTTGGAGACTTTTGATGACTGCTTCTATTTCCATAGGGGTTATAGGTCTATTTAAATTGCTTATCTGTTCTTGCTTTAATTTTGGCAAATGATATCTACCCAAAAAATTGTCCATTTACTTTAGATTTTCAAATTGTGTGGAGTACAGGTTACCTCAGTGTCCGTTGTTATGTCCCCTTTTCTTTTCTGATTTTTAAAATTTGCATGTTCACACTCTGTCATTTGGTAAGTTTGGATAAAGGTTTGTCTATCTTGTTGATTTTCTCAAAGAACCAACTCTTCGTTACATTGATTTTTTGTATTGTTTTTCTAGTCTCTGCTTTATTGATTTCAGCCCTCAATTTGATTATTTCCTGGTGTCTACTCCTCCTGGGTGAATTTGCTTCTTTGTGTTCTAGAGCTTTCAGTTGTGCTGTTAATTCTCTTGTGTAACTATCCTCCATTTTCTCCATGTGGGCACTTAGTTTTATGAACTTTCCTCTTAGCACTGCTTTCAAAGTTTCCCATAAGTTTGGGTATGTTGTGTCATCATACTCATTGAATTCTAGGAATTCTTTAATTTCTTTTTTTTAAATTCCTTCTTTGACCCAGGAATGGTGCAGTTGTGTATTATTCAACGTCCATGATTTTGTAGGGTTTCTGTGATTTGTGTTGTTGTTGAATTCTAATTTTAACTCATGGTGGTCTGATAAGGTGCACGAAGTTATTCCGTTTTTTTGTACATATTGAGATTTGATATTTTGCCAAGTATGTGATCGATTTTTGAGAAGGTTCCATGTGGCACTGAGAAGAAGGTATATTCTTTTTTATTTGGGTGGAATGTTCTATAGATGTCTGTTAATCCCAATTGGGTCATAACTTCAATTATTTCCTTTGCTTCTTTGTTAAGTTTCTGTCTGGTAGTACTGTCTAGAGGTAAGAGTGGGGTGTTGAAGTCTTCCACTATAAGTGTGTGGGGCTTTATATCTGATTTGAGTTTTAGTAATGTTTCTTTGATGAATGTGGGTGTCTTTGTATTTGGGGCATGGATGTTTAAAATTGAGACTTCATCTTGGTGTATTTCTCCTGTGATGAGTATGAAGTGCCCTCCTTCATCTCTTTTGATTGATTTTATTTTGAAATCTAATATGTTAGATATTAGGATTGATACCCCCGCTTGTTTCTTGGGTCCATTTTATTGGAAAATCTTTTCCCCACCCTTAAATCTGAGGTAATGTCTGTCTTTGAGGCTGAGGTATGTTTCTTGTATGCAGCAGAAGGTTGGGTTCTGTCTTCAAATCCAGTCTGCTAGCCTGTGTCTCTTCATGGGCAAGTTGAGACCATTAATACTGAGGGATAGTAGTGACCATTGATTGCTCATTCTTGTTTGTTTTGGAATAATTGATGGTGGTGGAATTATATGTGGATTTCCACCTCTTTTCTTTTGGCTATTGGTAAGGTGGGATTATTTATTGCCTATGTTTTTCTGGTTGTAGTTAACTCCCTTGTGTTTGGGTTTTCCTTCCAGAACTTTCTGTAGTCCTGGGTTAGTGG